GGTGTAGTGTTATATACACATATATTGAATGTATACATATACACATGTGTATACATACACACATGTATATATATACATATATACATATATACGTACGTGTATACATATAAAATGATCTTTTTTTTTCAATAGTGACCTTTGCCTTCTTGTGTCTTTTAAATGTTTCCTCCCTTTGCACCTCACACCCACCCTCTACCTCCCACTCTCTACCATCCACTCTTCTCTCTTAAAGTTTCTGGTATCTACACTTATCCTCTCCCCTATCATATAATCAGATATTTTTATTTCTGCTGTAGAGTGCAGCTATTTGGAATAAATTTAATGGGGATATACAGTGTGTACAGTGATCCCCTCTTATCTATGCAGAATATGTTTCAAGATCCCCAGTGGAAATTGGAGATAGTATACAACTCTAAATATACCATGTTTTTTGATCTGACAACAGAGAAAACTACTGAGTGACTAAAGGGCAGACAGCACATCAGCATGGCTATGCTGGACAACGGGATGCTCCACATCTTGGGCAGATGTGGAATCAGTGGCATGAGATTTCATGTTGCTGCTCAGAATGGCATGAAATTTAAAACTTATGTATTGTTTATTTCCTGAACTTTCCATTTAATATTTTCAGACCACTGATGACCTCAAATAACTGAAACCGCAGCATGGGAAGCCACAGGTAGGGAGAACTACAGTTTGTGATTATGAATTTGTCATTATAGGTGGGGCAGGAAACATAAAAAGAAAAATGGACACCTAACTTCTAGTAGTTAGTGGGCGTTCAGTCTGTTATCTGCTAAGAGCCTGCCATATGTGAAGTGCTATAACACCCTGTCTCTATGAGAGTTGAAATCTAGTTATGAGTTAAGTATGGCAAATGCAGTTTTAAATGCCCAGGTAATGTGCCAAACTAGATGATGCTGAGGGCATAGTAATAAAGAAAAAAAAGAGGGGCCAGCAGATGGTGTAGTGGTTATGTCACTGGACTCCCATATGGCTGATCGCGGTTTGAGTCCCAGACTCAGTA